TTCCCTCAAACCCGTTCCTCCTCCTGTGAATCCTACTTCTAACAGTGGTACCACCATCCCCTCACTCAAGATTAACACTGCAATTCATTTTGTTAACTCTATAACCTGTTCAGCCACATACCCAGTCCGTTACCTAGACTATCTCTCATATTTAACTTCTACCCTCATTCTCAGGGAACTACCCCCACTTTAGGCCATCATTTTTCCCTCTCCCCAGGAAATGGCCCATCTCCTAAATAGTTTGTTTGTCTCTAGATTCTATTCCAACCAGGTTTACCATCTGCTGACCACACCACTTGAGCATATCTCTTCTACTCCCCTTCTCTTCACACTCTGGTCAACTTGGCACCTCAGGCTCCTCCATCATGCATCATGTCATTCATCTCCACGTTTGTGATTCTGCTCATAACCTCTTACTTGGAGCCTAACATTCCTGCTCCACAAGTTAAACAATTTCTTCTTCTTAAGAATTGTATTTGTACCTCTGAATGGTCCTTATACTTTACTAGGGCCTGGTGCATGGATTCGTGCACCGGTGAAGTCCCTTGGCCTAGCCTGCGCCCTCTCGCAATCCGGGACCCCTCGGGGGATGTCAGAGAGCTGACATCCCGATCTCTGCAGGCCAGGCTGAGGGGAACCCCCCTGCCCCCCGTGCATGAATCCATGCACCGGGACTCTAGTATGCATGTAAGATCTTTGGTTAATCTCTTCCTGCCCTCCCCCCTCCCCACTTCCCTCTGAGATTCATCAGTCTGTTCCATGTTTCCATGCCTGTGGTTTCCGCTCCTGCATTGAAGGTCTGCCCACTGGTGGTCAGTGTGTGTCATTGCTACCGGCCAGTTGGCCGGTTGCTTAGGCTTTTATATATATACTAGAGGCCCTTGGCACGAAGATTCGCACAATAGGCCTTCCTTCCCCTGGCTGCCGGCACCAGTTTTCCTCCGGCACCCGGGACCCAGGCCTTTGGTCCGGCCGCAGCGAGGCTAGGCTTCTCCGCTCCGGCTGCAGTGAGGCTTGGCTTCTCCGCTCCAGCTGCAGTGGAGAAGCCAAGCCTCTTCAGTCTTCAGTCATATTTAGCCTTCGCTTCGCGCCTGCATATGCAAATTAACCCGCCATCTTTGTTGGGTTAATTTGCATGCCCATCCTGATTGGTTGGTGGGTGTAGCAGAATGACGACCCATTTACATATTTCTCTTTTATTAGTGTAGATAGATTCTTTGCATTATAGTAGTTTGCATTGGTCCTCTAAGTTATAAGCTCACTTATAATTACCCCACTTAGATAAGGCAGAGACTGAACCATACACATTTTGATTCTTCATGTGCATATTATATTGCCTGTAGTAGGTGCCTTGCACTCAGGAGGTGCTCAGTTAAGCTCTGATGAATGGAAAGTCACCTAAGGCACTATTTTATGAGTGTATGCCATGTCATATACTACTATTCCCTGTAAGCAAAATACACTTTGGGAGTGAGATCCAAACTGTAGCTAAATGCTCTTAGCATCTTTGGGTCCATCCTTAAAGCATCGTCAATTCAAGCAATCCCATCAGCCAGTCCTAGAATAGGGCCCAGGGAAATTAGAATATACCAGAACTAATCCCCCAGTCTCATCAGAACAGAGACACCACAGAAACAAGCTTCCTTTCCTGTGATACTATACACTGAGTGGCCAGATTATGATGACCGGCCAGATTATTATGACTACCCCATCAGTACAATGAAGTGAATTAGTTATGCAAATAATAATATAAGACCTTGAGAGTATTTTCTTAGGAATTTTTCAATATTCAGTATTTTTGGAAGTGTCAATGAATTACTGATGGGTGGTCATAATAATCTGGCCAGTCATAATAATCTGGCCACTCAGTATAATATCACATCGAATATGAACTGCAAACTTTAGGAATAAAAAAAGGAGAAAATTATCAAAGTTCCATTTAATTTTCCATCCAGTAAACTGGAAATCTTTATCATTTCATTCAGAGCCCAATAACTTACTAAATGGTAAACTGAAAACCTTAATAAAGCTTCCAAATTCATTTCACCTTTGCAAACAGGAAATTTCTTAAGAGCTGAAACAGCTACCTTAACATAAATTGGGTGAAAATGCTGTAATACTGGTACTATTAAATTATCTTCTTTATACTTAAGTGCACACAAGTGGAAAAACTTCAAAATTAGCTAACAATTATATTTTAGAATCAGTTATAAATTTCATTTGACTCTTTATTTTGTTTGGAGGTGGGGGACAACTTCTATTTATCACAGGAATTCCTTTCTTTCCTTACACATGGACGTACGCCTTTGTAGGAAGGGGTACTTCTGAAGTTTCAAAGAATCAAAGTGGAATAATTAACGCCTTCAAAGTTTCTCTCATAAAAGACTTTGCATAAACAATCTCTTTTCTATTACTTGAAACTAAAATTACAGCAATGTAGAATTTTAAAGCTAGAGGTCATCAAGCCTTAGTCCTGCCTTTTGAAAATGAGAAAACTGAGGGAGGGAATGGTTAAGATGACCTGCCCAGGTTCTCCCTGGGAACAATCCTTTCCACCATACCGTTCTGCCACTGAATACAGCAAAAGTACCTCTGAAGTTAATTTCAGGAGGGAAAGCAAAGTATTCTTATACCTTCAAATGATCAAGTATTCTTCAGGGAAGCTTTCAAAATATATGGAAAAAGAAAAATGTTTGCTTCAATATTCTAGTATAACTATCCATCCTTTTGGAGGAATTCTAGCTTATTAAAAATGTGACTTAATATTCGGATACATCCTTCTGGGTTAGCAAATGCCTGTCATTTCCTAAAGTCGTGGGATATGCACAGTCACTCTACTTAACTGTCCTCTCCTCCCATAGGCACAAAGACATAAAGTGCCCGTTTATTACACAAGCACTATCACATATCTTTTCAACAGTCAGACTATTCTGGTTCGTGTACATAGCCACAGTCCCCACTGCTCAGGAGTTTATAATGTGTGATCATTAAAAAAAAAAAGCACTACTTTTTCATGTTCTCATTCCTTTAGGTGGTGAAGAATGCTGATGGTGGTGTCCACACAATGCTGTAGCTTAGGGTTTTCTCAACCTTGCAACTGTTCACATGAGGCCAGATAACTGTTATGGAGGCTGCCCTGTGCATTTTCAGTGTTTAGCAGCATCATTAGCCTCTACCCACTAGAAACCAGCATATATAGGCTGTCAACCAAAATATATCTGCAGACATTGCCAAATGTCCCTTCAGGGCAAATTTGCCCTCAGCTGAGAACTACTGCTATTGAGGGAGAGAGTTCACTCTCCATATGTTCTTTATATTTTTAAAATATATTTTATTGATTTCAGAGAGGAAGGGAGAGGGAGAGAGAAACAGAAATATCAATGATGAGAGATAACCATTGATTGGCTGCCTCCAGCACTTGGGGATCGAGCCCGCAACCCGGGCATGTACCTTGACTGGGAAATCAAACCATGACATCCTGGTTCATTGGTCAACGCTCAACCACTGAGCCATGCTACCCGGGCATCAGTTCAACTTTTAACATAACAGGACCCAATTTCCTCTATAACCTTATACAATTGAAGCTAACAATATTGTATGTCAACTATAATTGAAAAATAAATCTAAAAACGAATTTCTCTGTAACCAGAAAATGGGCACAGGATATACCAGGTATAATAAAGCCAACAATAAAAACCAACAGGAATTTTACAACCTGTGGAATAGACCAAAAATATCTTGTTTGCTTGTTAAGTAGAACAACTCTTTTATCTGTATTTTTCTACTATAAAACCAAAAGCTGGATGAATGCAAGATGGATTTACCTTACGTTTCCCACAAGAGACAGACTATGAAGAGAACAAAACAAATGTATGTTTGTTTAGGTTTTGGGCAACAGGTCAACAATTTAAGATAAAGCATCATGAAGTTGTAGCTTCTACCAATTTTAAAGCCAAACTAATTTTAATTTATATTACTCCTTTGTACTTTGAGGCATGTTTTTTTCCTTCCCTTTCCCCCTTTAACTTCATTTCTTCTTTCTGTTTATTCTATAGATACTCTTGCAGAAACAGAAGTTTTTTGCCCTACTAATTTTGATCTTTTTTTAAAAAAATATATTTTATTAATTTTTTACAGAGAGGAAGGGAGAGAGAGAGAGAGTTAGAAACATCGATGAGAGAGAATCATCGATCAGCTACCTCCTGCACACCTCCCACTGGGGACGTGCCCGCAACCAAGGTACATGCCCTTGACTGGAATCAAACCTGGGACCTTTCAGTCCGCAGGCCGACGCTCTATCCACTGAGCCAAACCGGTTTCGGCTAATTTTGATCTTTTAATTAAATTTCAAAACTAAGAAATAATTTATTTACTTTGATCTCTTCTAATATTTTTGGTTATTTTTTATTCTATTTATCCATACAGAAATTTCTTCTTCCTATATATTTTTTTCTTTTTCATTATTTTGTTCCTCATCAAAACTTCTGCTTGCCCTTCACTATTACTATCTAAACCTCTCAACCTTTCCCTCCATAATCTGAAAGTTTAAGAGTGAAATTTGTATCTAACCAAAACATAATACAATTGATTTTGTTTAAATAGACATGACAAAATGCCTTCCCTCACCTATCACAAATAGCCAACCCATATAAGAAAGTAAACATTTTATTAACTAGAATTCTCTAACAGCAGGCATAGTCAGTGCTCATAAGTGGCCATAAGGATTACAATAAACAATGAATCTTGAAATATTTTGTCAAAGGACAAAGTATTAAATTATGAGTTTGAGTGTTAAATATATTTTGGCATAGGCTAATTCTTTGAAAAAGGGACTAATGCACAGAAGAGATGCCAACTTTCTACTAACTAGCCTTCTTCCACGGAACTGCTCAATTCCTTAATTATGAAAGTTAACAAAAAGACTTCCCTACAAATGTCAAATGTTTAAATTAGAAATTTCATTTGGTATTTTTTTTAGTCATAATTAAATAGAATTCCTTGCTACAGCTCAAGATGCAGAGTGCTCACTAAGTCAGCAGATGAGAAAAAGCAAAAAAGGAATCAAAATGTCTGTTACTATATTGTGGGCAGCACCAGAAACATGGAGTCTTGAGCACATGCTACACATTCTCAGATTTCTATAGCAGCATCTCAGAGAACACGTAAGACAAGAAGGGGTTTTGTGTGCTTTCTCCTATATTGATCATTATTCTTTGTTCTGTATGTCGAGTTGGCCCATAGTTTGGTGGAAATGCTGACAGGCATGTCTGAAAAAAATGATTCACACATTAACCACCTTCTAGAAAGGAAATGCTGTTTCAAGTAATTTACTGTTGATTGGACAGATGTTCTGCCTGGCAAAAAGTGGGCTTGCAAATTCTGTTTATCTTCTCCTATTATTTGCTTTTTATTTTAATAATCAATGGTGTGAAATCCCACATTCAACTTTCCAATAGCCTGAACCTTTCTGAAAATCTTATGCTTTGGAATGAAGCTCCTTGTGTAATTTCTCAAGTATTTTGAGACCAGGAGATTATATGAATGTCCAGAACATAATCTATTTTCAGCTGGTAGGATAGTCACATAAGCAAAATGTTTCCAAATGAAAGATACTCAAAGGAATCCATATCATTGCATTTTTCAGTATGATTATGTAACAAGACGCCACTTCAAAGCTAACTTTTTATTTGGATTACATGTGCAAAAAGGTCAGGGCTATGTTTTCTGTAGGAATTTTCACTTTTGCTTATTTGGAAGCAGTTAAAGGCCCAGAAATTCTTCCTATTTAGAGACCTCTGTAAAGATGAAAAACACATCACGAAACATTTAATAATAAGTATGTTTTAAATATAGCAGTATTCTTGCTATAATATAGGTATGCATTTCTTCACTGTAAACTACTGCTTTAAAATGGACTTCAATAATAAAAATATATTTCTAAAGAAACTTCATGTCTGGATAATCTATAAAATGGTTTTTAAATTATTTAATAAGTTTTAAAACAAGTTGGTTGTCAACATGGATAAACTCTCAACCATGTCCTGTAATTAATGATAAATAAATAGCCCAGGAAAGGTGGTAAAGGTTTCCAGATTTTCTAAAATTTTCTAGGTTTTCTGAAATATTTAATCTCCAGATGGCTCAATATTAATACTGTAGAGTCTAAGAATGTGGGTTAGTTCTAGATATACAACTAACTAATGAAAACTTTCTGCTTTTAGTCTCAAAGAGGCTGTATTCTGGACTATTCAGAAAGGGATGAGGGTCCACTGAACAGATCCACTATTTCCCTGTTTGGTCACTAAGCCTGTCCTAAAATTAAATAGCAAATACACTGCAACTGTAGTTTGAACTTCATTTCCTTCCATTCCTGCCCCGGCTGACTGCACAGAAACAATACAAAGACCAAATGAATTATAATAGGACTGCTTTAAATTGAGGTAAGGATATATTTATTTATAGTTCAAGGCCAACACTACTTCCTTAGATTGTGAACATCTTAAGAACAAAAATATGCTCAATGTCACTAATTATGAGATGCAAATTAAAACCACAATGAGATGTTACTTCACACCTGTCAGAATGGCTATCAATAAACCAACAAACAGCAAGTGCTGGTGAGGATGTGGCCAAAGCGAACCCTCTTGCACTACTGGTAGGAATGCAGACTGGTACAGCCACTGTGGAAGGCATTATGGAACTGTCTTATGACCCAGCGATTCCATTTCTGGGACTACACCTGAAGAAACCTGAAACACTGATCTGAAAGAATATATACACCCCTATGTTCATTGCAGCATTATTCACAATAGCCAAGATTTGGAAGCAGCCCACATGCCCATCAATAGATGAGTGGGGAAAAAAGCTGCGCCACATTTACACAATAGAATATTACTTGGCCATAAAAATGAAGAAAATCTTACCCTTTGCGTCAGCATAGATGGACCTGGAGAGCAGGTCCTTATTTTACCTACAGAAATAATGAGCGAGAGAAAGACAAGTACCTTATGATTTCAGTCATATGTGGAATCTGATGAACAAAATAAACTAACAAACAAAACAGAAACAGACTCACAGATACAGAGAACAGACTGACAGCTGGCAGAGGAGAGGAATTTGGGGGACTGGGTGAAAAAGGTGAAGAAATTAAGGAAAAAATAAACTCATAGACACAGACTACAATCTGGTGATTAACAGAGGGAAAGGGGGGTGGAGGGAGGTAGCGGATAGTAAAGGAGACGTGACTTTGGTCAGTGAACACACAATACAATATACAGATGATGTATTACAGAATTGTACATCTGAAACCTATATAATTTTATTAACCAATGTCCCCCAATAAATTCAATAAAATATAAAAAAGATAAAAGACTCCCCCCCCCCCAAAAAAAAATCACCTAATCCAGCGTGGAGTTTAATGGTTTATACTTAATACCATTAATTAATTAAAAACCAAAAGGAAGGAATGATTTCTGATTTCAAATTTTTGATGATGAGGAAACCCAAGGTTCCCTGAAACCCTAAATGTGGACCAAGGTCATTGAATATTATTAGCCTGAGCAGGGCTGCAAAGAGAAACCAGGAAGTGCTGAGTCATCGTGAGCCCAAGTGACTCTGCTGTCAGCACTTCAGGTGCCAGATTCAGAGGAGAGCATACTTCCTTTGACCTGTCACTCTTCCTTCCTTTTCTCACTGGGCTAGGGTAGGTAACAGAGAGCTGAATGCCACCAAGTTGAGGAGCAACATGAATAACAAATAACATCATGTAACAGTTCTCATTCCATGTGTATCTCTACTTATGGCTATTACAACAAACCATTTAAAAAATAAAATTAACAAAAGAAATAAATAAAATTAACACACACATATAGAATTTAATATCTGTCAGAATTAAGTGATTATACCTCTTGTTTCTGATAACAGAAGAGTTTCCTCCTCAAATAATTGGCATGCCTTTTTCAGCATTCAGTTTATGTGTATTTAATTACCAAACAGCACTTAAGGGAACAGTCATATTCAAATGATCTTTGCATAACTAAAACACTTGTAATACTAGATAGAAAACTCTAAAATAGGAGAAATAACACCAGGAGTCAGGTGACCTTTGACAGGTCATTTAAATTCTGTGTCAATTTCTTTATCTACAAAATGGGAAAAACAATCTTCCTCACTTCCATTACTCCTGCTGTGAGAGCAACTATGTTACTAAGAAGTAAGTGTGCTTCAGTCATGCAAAAAGGTATGACACTTTCATTATCTATAATAATAAAAGCGTAATATGCTAGTTAGACCGAACAGCCGAACGACCTTCCGGATGTCATTCCAGACATCTTTCTGGACAAAGCCGCAGTGGCGGGGGCTGAGGCAGAGGCGGTTAGGGGCGTTCAGGCAGGCAGGTGAGCAGTTAGGGGTGATCAGACAGGCAGGCAGGCAGAGAGGTTAGGGATGATCAGGCAGGCAGGCAGGTGAGCAGTTAATAGCCAGCAGTCCTGGATTGAGAGAGGGATCCCTGCAGGATCCAGCCTAAACCGGCAGTCGGACATCCCCTGAGGGGTCCGGGATTGCGAGAGGGTGCAGGCCAGGCTGAGGGACTGGGCCTCTAGTTTCTAAATAAAATAAAACAAACCCTGGGTCTTAGTCTAGCTTCTATGTATTTCATTAAAAATGTTCAATAATTTCATTGAATTTGAATGTGTACATTGCACCCAGGTTAGAGTCCACACAAGACAATAAACCTGGGAACACTAACAGGATTCAACAGTACTGTGCTATCTAAAAGTAAACTTTTATTAAAAAAAAAATTATATATGAGAAATATCACAATGATACTTTATCGAGAAAAAAGGAAGTTTAAAGTGACACAAAAAAAATCAGCATTTAGCATTTTTCTACAGAATCCCCACAGGTCTCCAAACACCTATTCAAATAAAATCAACTTTTCCTCAAACACTAGCAATCAATTTTCTAAATCCTACTTAATGTTATAATTGTGGTAAAGGAACAAAACAAAAACAGCAAGTATTACTTTTTGCAATATTTTATTGCATTGCAGTAAATTATTCAGTTATATTATGGGACAAATAAGCATTGTGAGCTAGTGAGGGATTTAATAACATTTACCAAGTTTTATCTACTAGAAAAACCTTGAGTTCCCAGATCCAGAGGCCTTTGGGCAATCATCTTTGTAGTTCCTTTACCATTTTGTACACTTAGATGACATTAAAGTGACTGAAAAGATTTATATTTTTCTACTGTATATAAAAACAAAACAGAAAGACTGCTCTTGGCTCTCAAAAAAGCAGACTAGAGTGACTTCAAATGCATTAAGTCTTATGATGAAATGTGGAAATGATTCTAGCATCTAAAGATGGCAGAAGATGGAAAAGAATTCAAGATGACAACCTAAGTCTATCCAACAAACATTATTGAACAGTTCCCATGTTCACAATGCCCAGGTCTTGCAACTGTGGTTTGTTATCTATAGGAATACTAGGCAGACCTGACAGATTCCTGCTGGACTTAATAATTTCGTTTCAAGATTATAAAAGACGCACGTAACGTTAGAATTTGAAGAGGACTTTACTGAGTTCAGAAGAAAATCACTCTTCTTCAAAACATTCCAAGTAGCTGAGTGGTTGTACCAAGGAGGAGAGAACGAGGCAGTGAGGTAACTAAATATGTGCCAAGTGTCGAGCACATAACAGGAACCTAAACACATTTAATATGTGTCCTAATTTTACAAAATAAAAAACTGAAGCTTAGCGGTAAGAAGCATAATATGGCCAAGTCATAGAGTCACATCGTAGAATGAGAATGTGAACCCACATTTGAACTCCACTCTTAGGTTATCAATAATATCCAAGGGTCAATAAATAATAATGTGGTTTTGTTTCCAAGACCCCATGTGTGCCCTCAAACTTTTTAAAATTTCATCCTGAAATTTTAAAATCTGAGATGCCAGGATAGTACTTTTCCCAAAACACCATATATTAAATTATGGAATTATGGTTCGTGAATTTGTTCATGGTCTAACCTAAAGATATTAAGCCCATGTTCAAGCATTTGCAATAACATATGTATAAAGTTGATGCCACGCCACAATCAGCAGAATAAATTTTCAACTGTCATACACAACCGAGCGATTAGAACTTCTGTCTCAGAAGCAAATACACGTTATGTGAGATAAATGCCCAGCACTAGGGCTACAGGCGTCTGACGGGGAGCAATTTTCTTCTACACAAGCTACATACAACTAAATTTCCAACCCTTGGTCTACGTACCCATGGCCTTTCAGTCCATTCCCAACAGTAGCCAAGAAAGTGCATGCGATGCATAGTCATTTATGATTTGGGGTTCCGTTTCTATATAAACATGGGATAATTTTTAAGAACCTCAAAGTCCTTCAAATCCTATTAGGCTGGCAATCTACCCCTGCCAAAATAGGTTTATTGGAATTCCTGAGAAAATAACCGTGAAAAGAAGATGGAGGTGAAAATCATGGCTCCAGAAAATTTGCAAGGGAAAGAGAAAGAGAATCAATCCCATATAACCCTGCTTGCCTCAAAAAGAAAAAATTGCACCAAAGCTTTCTTCATTCAAGCTGTTGGTTTTGTCCCCTGTCTGCTCCCCCACATATCTAAGTGCAGTGAGTACATTCCCAACTCCTACTGCCAAGTTAAAATGAAAACGTTCTCAGTTTAGAAATGATTGAGGTGGTTTTCTTTAATCAAATTAGAGCAGCCAAATGTTCCTTTCAAAGGTAACTGTCTACTCTGCAGCTGTATGCAAACTACCACATCAAATGTGAGGGAAAAATAGCGATAGAACTGTGTCCTTACAGTACAGTGCTGGCTGCAGAGATGGAGAAACAAAAGCATCAGTGCAGCTAAGAACTACATTCACAGTGCGCTTCCAGAAATATGCTGACTTCACAAACTGAGAACAATGTACTGAAACTTCCAGTATATAATTAGCTATTTGGGGAGAGGAGGAACGTGGGGGTAAATTTCCCCTTAAAAACAGCTAACAAGCAATAGATACCTTGATGAGCCTCAGTGAGAAACATTAAATGACTGGCTGAGTCTTCACACACACACACACAAATCTTATAGACCTTGCTTTTTTACTTCCTATCTCCATCAAAAACATACCACATTGAGTAATCTTGAATATCCAACCAGCTTCAATTAAGCTTGCAATGATTCATTTACATGCAGAACTTA